ATCCTAATATCTTTTCTAATTCAATCTTCCTGTTTATTTCTGTTACTTTTACTGTTTTTAATTCCTGTTCACGCTGCTATGTTTGCTATTCAGACTCTTTGCCTATTTTGTTATAACCACATTTGTAATCTCTAAGCGCATAAAAAGCACAATTTTTTCGGTGATTATGATCCTACTACGTCTTTTGATCAGATCTTCCTGTTTATTTACACTTTAATTCTATTAATTTGCCCTTGATCGGAAATAGTTCTGGAACTTTCTCACCCATTTACTACAAATACACGAATGTACAGTCGTCCAACTGGACGGACTTCGTCCAATAGAAAGTTTTCTTCGAAGCAACCATCTTTTGAATATTTCTTATAAAGCCAAATAGTCAAAGTATCCTGATTTTTAGAAGGATTTCTTTTCTAGCTGATATAGTTTTACGAAATAAACTATGATATAACCATCAGTATAACCTAATGGCTTAGAAGTTTCTTGAGTTAACGAACTTTCCTACCTAGCAGATATTTGTCAGCCTACCGTTCTAACCACATTTCGCAACGACATCAACTACACGCAAAGCAAGGAAGAAGGACAGACCATTGACAAGAAAGCTTTTACTGTCTTGAACCAACAGAGAAAATGGTTTGACAGCAGTTCCACATATATATATGTTTTACATGACCTTGAGAGATACTAATTTCATCGATAAACTCAAAAAACAAAACAGTTAACAACCAATAGGGTTCAGCTTTCATAAATGAGGGGAGGGGGAAACACAAACATTGCGGTACTGTAAATAAAGGTGTGAACCAAGCCCAGAACATGTTGGCCAACCTAGTAATTCGGAGGTCGCTAGTTTAAATCTAATCGTGATCCGAAATTTTTAGTTCACCTCACATTATGTTTATATTATTAGTAGTAGTCTCCCAGTTCAAGGCAGTAGCGCATGGTTCCACAAATTACTACACCATCTACACGTATAAAAAGCCACTATTGGTTTCGTTTCAATGGCTTTCTATCCTCAGCTTTCAAAAACATATTTGTCTGTTGTATATGACAAATAGTAGATTGTACCACTACTTTATGGAGACTGTGGAATTCATATGCCAGCAAATAGTAGAAAAGCAGTTCGATCTTGGAATTCCATTTATTAGACTCAAAAACCTGCTTCTAAAATGAACTGTGAATGTACACTTCACATTCAACAACCTTTATTACATGAAAATTGATGATATTTCCATGGGTTCTCCGTTGGATCCGATCTTGGCAGTTCTTTTTTTTCTAAGCTAGAAAATGGCCCATTGAAAAAAATAATAGATACAATGGATTCTTATTTTCGTTATGCTGATGATACGTTGATGATTCTTGATGTCTCTGTCTGTCTGTCTGGATTCAACATAGAACTTGGCACCGAAGTGCAGCAGTTCCAGTTGCCACCTTCCAAATAGCACACACAGGTAGACAAGAAGATGAGTGAAGAGAATCAATACAGTCTGACAAGTATAAGAGTGAAACAGAATGGGTAATGGTAGAAAGGAATATGAAAGATTACAGAGACTGAATACATCTGCGCTGGCCATTGACAACGATTTTGAGCCATGTCACCTATTGTCTCCAGCCATTGATTCCTAGAGTCCCGAGGGCCCCAACCCGGAAGTCTGCATCTCCCTACCTGACTCAGTTTAACTGTCAAGGATTTCATGGATTGATGCCATGTTTTTGTTTGGCCACCACTGGCTATTTTCCAACCTGAACCTATATCAGCTAGCAATGCCCGTCGGGGGAGGCGGTGGTTAGGCATGCGCAGCATTTCGTTCTTGCAGGCTTTCTAATCAAGAATCATCTTGATTAGAAAGCCTGCAAGAACGAAATGCCAATAAACATTTAGTGATGCACATCCGGTGCTCATGTTAACTTGTGACGAAGAACAGGATGGTAGATTACAATTCCTTGATGTCCAGTTTAACAGAAGAGGGGATGGTTTTATTCAAGATAGATGTTTGTAGAAAAACTGTGTCTACAGGAAAATACACATATTTCCTTAGTTTCAGACCATTCCGATACAAAATCTATTTGGTCATATATTTGATGAATAGAGCAATATGGGTCTTCAGCTATGACTCCCCAAAATACGCTGGTCCAAATGGATTATCCTGATAGATTTGTAAAGAGACACATGGACATCAGGTAGAATAGAGAGGAACTGACAACAGTTAAAAAGAAGGCATTGTTCCTAAAATTAAAATTTAATGTGGACGTGGCTAGTGAAGTCCTACATCTAAGATTATCTAGAGTCATAAAACGGACTTAAACTGCTGCCACTCCTTGTTTGTCATATTCCAGCCGACTAATTATGACTGTTCAAGTGAACGACAAGCTACTTCCATGTACATTTATAAATTTAGCTCCTCCTGCGAAGAAAGTCACATATAGACACCTCAATAAAAGTGCACTACTGTGAGCATCTTCCTTTATGATTCGGAAAAGTCCAAGTAAAATCTATACAAAGTTTTATTTTGTCTGATGTGATTGAAAACGGTCATCAAGTTATCTGTCACATTCCATCGAACCTCTTGAACAGAATTCAAACTCGCCTTTTACACACAGTCGAAGGTAAAGGGAATTCGAGAGAACAAAATCCTGGTGTTTTCATGTATACAAAAGAAGTTTGTTCTACCTCTGTCTCTTCCTTAGCCCAGACAGATTCAATAAATTAATTAGAACATTCAAGACATTTTTTTATTTTTCACTTTTTTCGTACTTTTATACTACTTATTTAAATTCTGTTCACTTCAATTTTATTTAGTATTGCATAAATTCCAAGATTTGACTTAATTTATTTACTGAATTCTTTGTATAAAAATGCTAATTTCGTTATTCTTATCTCCACCTGCTTAAACTCATTTTACTTTTCTTAATATTACTATTATTATTTTAACAATTAGTTTGTAGGAGTTGTATTTGTTTCAGATTTGAGCACGGATTGATGATATCAGTTAGAGAACCACTGCAAACCACCAGGACAGCCAGCTGTTTCATCCTAGTCTTGAACACATCGGAAGGACGCATCCACCACAGGAGTTCGAACCTAGAACCTACCGGTTACAAAGTTAGCAAGCTCATATACCATTCAACCAATGGGACCAAATTCAATGGACAACCCATGAATTCTAACATCCACTGAACGTGATTTTGGCGTGACCACCAATCAGTGTAGTCGATGGGAACTCCATACTCACTGTCACACTAGTTACGACTTCTCACTAGAACTCCAGTCAACTTCATCCTGTAGGCTGCCATTAACGAGCATCAGATTAATCTTCAAGAATTGGTTCGTATGGATTCTATGTGTTTTAGGTTAAACCACGGACTGACATAAGTTAGAGAATCACTGAAGTTAGAATTCATGTGGTGACCATTGAGTCGGATCCCAGTGGTGAGTGGTATATGAGCTTGCCGTGTAACCGAAAGGTCCTGAGTTCGAAACCCAAGAGGTACGTCTGTCTGTTTTCGACATAGAACTTTGCACAGATGTGCAGCAGTTCAAGTCGACACACTCCATGTAACACACAAACCAAGAGAAGAAATGCATAATAGAGACAGTAAACTGAGGTGTGAGGCAAAGGAATAGTAATAACTAAGAACAATTAAGTGTCATCGGCAGTGGATGCATCTGCGCCATTGAGCCATACCACTAATTGTTTCCAGCCTTCATTAGTTTTTACCGTCCCGACGACCCCAACCAGGAAGCCAGTCTACACATTCCTACGTGGCTGGCTGGCTTAAACTAACTGTTGTGGATTTCATTGACTGGTGCCATGTTTTAGTTTGACCTCCGCTAACTCTTTTCCAGGCTGTCCCTATGTCAGCTAATATTGCTCGTCGAGGAAGGCGATCGATGACTAGACATACGTAACACATGTCATAACCATCTCAGTCGATATAATTTCACGGCCTCGTCGACTGATTTCCCCTCCTTACCTAGAACTCGATCGAAGCCTCATCTCAATATTGCTCACCTGATTATACCACTTCACACGGGAGATAGAACGCAGGCACCTATGATCAAAGACAGCTAGCCAAGCTTTTGATGTCTTCCACTCTCAATAGTCAGATCTCACAGCCATAAAGGAGGACAGAGCGGACATCTGAGCAGTACACAAGCCCTTTGACCGATGGTCGGATATTACGTCTACGCCAGAGATGGCGTAAACTGGTATATGCGAAACTATCCCTCTGTATCCGTGCTGAGATTTCGTCAGAGATCAACCTGTTGGCACTGGCTGATGGTATTTCCCAAATAAGTGAAGCGGTCAACGTGCTCTACCAACCACTTGACCCCCTATTTCTAAACTAGGAGTCAGTGTAGTCCAGTCATGTAACATCATCTTATATTTGGCGGGAGCGAATCGCATGCGAAACATTCGCAGACTGCAACTCAAGGCGTTCAGAAGACTCTGCACTTTGTCAGTGTCTTCACCGAGAAGGGCCATATCATATGCATATTCTAAGTCCGTGAGATTATTACCTGGTAACAATGGGTACGCACTGACAATGAGCCCCAAATTATTATTATTATTATTATTATCGTTATTGCTGCCGTTATCAAAACTCGATCCACAAACTCACCATCACTGGTTAAAGATTGTTACATATAAAACTAAGTAAATTAGAGTAAGGACTGAAGAAGCTCTAATTGAAAACAATACTGTTCGCTAAATGTGTCTTGTTCTAATTTTAACAATGGGAATATTTAAATATTTCCGACAATAGACCGTTTATATCAGAGATTACTTGTGTTTTGAAGCCTTCATCTAATTCACTTATCAATAAGTCGAAATGCAATCGAGTAGTGTCTCGTTTACACATATCAAAACATGTCAATCAGATAAAATGAAAAGACACACGGTCATCAACTTTGAAAACAGAAAACACTCAATTTTCTAATTTAAGAAGCTATGTACATTTGACAAAATCAATAACAAAAGCGAAAAAAAATCAATAAATCTATATTAGAATTGACTAGAAATTCTTTTCAATGCCCTAATTATTGATAATGCTTCATTGGGAATATTTTCACTATTTAGTTGGATTAACTTTCGTGATAAAAATTGATCTAATGCAAAATCCCAGGAATTCGGTCGACATTCAGCGCCTTGAAGACACGCAGTCAGTTCAGAGAGAAATTCTTTCAACGGATGTGATGGTTGCTGCTGTGAATCATCATCACCAGTGAAGCTGATACAATCGACGATACTACCACGACGACATTGTAATACGATTGAGCCATATTGATTAGTGATAGAGTGCAGATCAGGTTCATAGTCATCTAAGGCTAATTGAAATGCTGGTGAACCACCGTATATCCATGACCATGATTGCAATGTGTTTAATTCTTTTTCAAAATTTTCTCCTAATGAAGGGATAAATTGGGGCTCCTTGCCTTCAGGAACCTTTATCACAGTTGGATAAGATATGTTTCCGTCATTCTAGCGAAAAAAAAACAATGACAGGGAAGAAGAAAGAAATCAGTCTTACAAATTTAGAGTTCCAAGTATTGGTTTGTAGGGATTTGGTTGATTGGTTACAGCATTTCACCATGAGCTGGCATTGATCACAGAACCACTGAAAAACCTGGGAATACTGGACAGCTATTTCGTCCTAGTTTGGGACTCTTCATCAGCACGCACCCATAATGCGATGTCCGAACCCAGGACTTTCTGGTTACAGGGCCAGCTAGCTCATAGACCATTAAGTCACTGGGACCCGATCCAATGACCAGTCCATGAATTCTAACTTCTGCCAATTCATGACATAGTGTGACACCTAGTTAATGTTTTCGGCGAGTATTTTTCCTCACACCTGACCTGCTGCACCCTACTAGTCACGACTTCTCACTAGAACCCCAGATAACTACCCACCTGAATAAGGCAAGTCGCCAGTGAGCATCTCATTGATATTCAAGTATTGGTTGGTGGCTTAATCACAGAATGCTCGTGGTCCGGGATTCGACCCCCGGACAACTCACCTTAAATCTTTGAATGTCCTATATTAGTCCAGGTAGAGGGACGAGAGGATACTAAAGCAACGCCGTAGGAAAGCAAAATTAGTGCTATGGGAACATCAAATTTAAAGCTTGAAACTTTATGGTTCACTCGCAACGCAAAGGAATAGAGTAAAACAAAACCAGTTCCATGACATCATAGCCTACTGAATTCTAAACTTGTATTTTCTCGAAATTCTCCGTGACCGCCACTAGTTCCAGTCCTGCTGTGAATTAGAGTTTTCTACTTCATAGTCTAGAAGATATGGATTTCACGGATGCTTTATACGCCATATCACACAAACTCGAAGACTTATACGCGAAAACCAACAAACTGGGAGAAGAAGCAGCAAAGACAGGATTTTAAGTGAACACACAGAAAAGATTCAAGTGGTGAAAATAACCAACCAACCAACCAACAACAACCAGCACCAATCACTATCAACCGAAGAAATTTTGAAGAGGTCACTTCCTTCACGTATATGAGGAGGAGGGTAGCATCGATTCAGTTACAGGCGTTACGGATGATAACGTCGAAGGGAGGAGGAAGGGAAAGGCAAGACAGACCTACATAACTCTGAAATCACTGTAGACATTTTCTGCACTCAACAGCATAAACAAAGAAATTCGGATCTTCAACACCAATGTTAAGTCAGTCACTGCTTCTATATGGGTTGGGAAACTTGCACTCTCCGTCATAGAAAGCATTTCTAACAGACCACAACATACTTTTGTCAACAAGTGCCTTCTCTGGCTCCATATTGAAGATCAAATGACCAGAAATAATTAGAAATAAGAAGGTGGGAACAAACCAACCAAGAGCTGATTGCGTTAACAAATATGCAGAGGAAAATAGAGATGGATTGGGCATACGTTGAGCAGACCGTTGGATGACATTGCGCTCCAAATAGGCCGTCTCTACTGGGAAACGACGAGTCGGGTGTATGGCCGAGTGTGATATTCAGAGGATCATAAGAAGAGGAAATGAAGGACTATGGTCAATCGTGAGGACAGCTAAATGGGGGACCTCAGGAAATAGGATTTAGTGGAGACATTCTGCTGAAGCCCTATATTCCAATCGGAACCCAATGGAACAATAATGATAATAACTATAAGGGGGAGAATTGAGCAAGCGAGTAAATTCCTGACAGTTGTCGCTATATATTTATGTATCAGTCATCTTTAGCGTACAAAAGAAACAAGATTTGAACTACAGGTGAATTTACCAAAAAAATAAGAATAGACAGTATCGACCAGTGAACGAAATTATGAGAAATGCGTATAAATTAGTCAAAATATGGTAAAACTTTGCCTCAGTTGCAATCAAAAGATGCTATTTTCATGAGTTCATTTGCGGGGATTCGATTTGTTTCAAGTTTGACATCACAGATCTATGATTTCAGTTAGAAAACCAGTAAACAGTACTGGACAAGAGTTTCGTCCTAGTTTCAGCACATACCCACTTCAGGGGTTTGAACTCAAAATCTTCCGTTAACAAGGCAAGGTCGTAGTAGACCATTCAGCCACTACCATACGACTCAATAGCTTGAACTGGGATGAAACAGCTGTCCAGTACTCCCTGTGACTGGTTTTCAATGGTTCTCTAACTGATAACCCAATCTGTGTTTACACTTGAAACTTAAAGTCAAAAATCATGTGTGTAGTATAGTTTAGCGTGCAGAATTTCTCTCACCTTCGATATCCATTTCAAGCTATTCTCTATTATAGCCTCTTGAAGTAGTTCAATGCTCAGATTTAAATTTCTTACAGGACTTCGAATACTATCAGTTGCTTTAGTCTGCATATTTACCTAAATGTAAAAGGTAGACAAAAATACAGTGTGCAAAAGAAACAAAATATTGTAAGAAATGAATATAAATGAAAATGTATTCATAAATAAAAACCAGCTAAAAAAAATTCAACAACTAATAAAGGAAGATGTCCATCGATGGCTAAAAAGGGGTTCGGAGTTCGATCCCCGGCCATCGACGCACTGTTTTACCTCGCTAAGCCAATAATAAAACTGGTAAAGAGGGAAAGGTTGGGGCACGAGACTAGCAGTCTCATCCCGTAAAAATAACACATCACTGCTACCGAAACTTCAAAGATCTAGCTTGAAGCCCCATGCTCCACTGGGAACGTATAGGAATAAAAAATATATATATACAGGAAGACAAGCTCGACTTTAAATCTATCAGAGCATTTCTCTAAAGGTAGGTTAATTCGTTATATTAACAAAATCGACTAACACCAGTGAATATATTTCACAAAAGAACAAGTTCCATATCTGCCTAGATCAGTCTAATTGACTAGGAACTTTTGAGTAGTTGATTTTAAAGCCAATCACTAGATAACGGTGGATTCGCATTCACACTAGTTACTAGTGTCCAATCAAAGTATCCTACAGGAGGTCAATCGCGAGACAGCCCGAATAGCTCAGTGGTAACGTCTCTGACTTCAGGCAGCACTGGGTGACGGGGGTTCGAATCTCAGGAGGAGGGACATGAGTTCCTTCAAGGTTGCAGATACGCCTTGCTAACTGATGAGTGCCAACTAGCACGAAACCTAGATCAAGTAAGGCTTCCTGTGGCCGATTGCCTCCAACTATCTAATATCATCAAATCAATGTGACTGTGATGGTGAGCCACCTAAAATGGCGGCCACATTGCAAACCTTACTGATAGAATTCAGTGTGCACTAAAGAAAGGACTAGACACGTCACACTAGTTACTAGTGTCCAATCAAAATATTTAGTATGTGAGGGGATAATTGATTATTTCACCAGAGAGTTTGTCACAAACTGTGATATGATAGTCTGCTTTTCCGAACTTATTTCATCGAGTAGTTGTAGTCAAATTGAAGTATGCACTGAAGATGTTGCCTAGTAAGACAATGAAAGTTTCGCAAGTAAAAACTATCCAGCTCAGAGAAAACAACTACATCAAAAATAAACAACACGTAGAAATGTTTCATTTCAGTTTGCTAAGAAAAGCATGTAACGAATGAAACAAGAAAATGACAGTGACTAAAATCAACTGGCATTAGTAAAGTACGACTACAATTCAGAGGTAATATACCAAATGATGAAACAATATAACCGACAAGTTGAGAAAATCAATTCAAAGGACATTTAATGCCAGTAGACTTCAGTCTATATTTTCCACACATAACCGGTTGTGATTCCAAAACTGAAAATATGAAGTACCTAGGTTAGCCACCTCTAATTGTATCTATCAATTCAACTGCTCCTGTGAAGCCACTTATTTTGGCTTGCAAAAACACCAACCAGTGTGGTTAAATGAAGGTATTATTAAAACTGTCAACAGTTCTTTACTGGACCACCTCGTGAAAACAGGCCACTGAGATTCGCCTAAAATCACCGGAGGTCTCTATGTGTTCAGAAGATGCAGGTGCAGCCATCATCGCCACCATCTTTTAAATTCTTTTTAGACGAAATCATCTTCACAGGCTGTACACAGTCGTATTTATATTTAACAAAAATGTATAGTAGTCTATTACTGAGCAGTAGGAGGGTGATATAAGTAATATAATTACTCAGAAGAGGCTTTAGAAGTAAAAAATAAAAGTTGTAAATTACGTGGTACTCGACGGCACAAAGTCAGAAATTTAGTAAGATTAAAATTTCAATAAGGCATTAAGAAGACAATTTCCGTGAGATGGTATCTTCATTTAGTAGTTTCTTTACAACTGCTTTGCAACTAGCATCGTTCACAATAATAAGATGAAATAAAATGCATGACAATTACTCAATTAAATAAAAAACAAAAGTGCATACTAATGACCAATCATTTAAATAGGTCATATAGTCCATGGTAGGCGACATTAATTGAAGTCTATTGTTTTTTTGTACACACAGTTTAGGCTGTATGTGATTAATCCAAAGTGCTTCCATCACCTTCAATAACCTTGAATTAGAGTTATGTGAAATAATTGTGAAACAGTCATTAATATTGATTTTGTGACCTGATATTAATAAATGCTTTGCAATGGATGATGCTGGATTTTTATTCAGATTGATTGCATTGGGATTTTCTATGTTTTAATAACCATTTTAGAAAATGTTCTTTTGGACGGTATTGGAACATTCTGTCGGTTCTACCTATATAGGTGTCACCGCAACTGCAGGTAAATTTGTAGACACAGTTTGAAGTACAGTCTACAGAATTTCGTCCTTTAATCGTAGGTAAAGGGATCGAAAATTTTCGAGATGTGAGAGCGGCATAGGATGTGCTCTTGATGACTGACTGAAGCCTTTGAGCTAGCTGTCAACTGCATAATCTGGTCACCCTTGAATGGTAAGTTAATAAAGATAGCTTCCTTTGGTACAGAAGCTGTCTCTTCGAGATGTGGTTTTTCTTCATTGTGACAAGTGATAAAGTTCTCCGGATAACCATTAGCTAATAAAACTGAATGTATTTGTCGAAGCTCATCCACCAATGTGTCACTCGTGCATATTTTTTGGGGCCCTTGAGAACAAACATTTCACTAGGGAACGTTTATAATGGATAGGAACAAAACTGGTAAAATGAAGATACTGTCCACTCCATATCTGTTTACGAAAAACCGACTTTGCACATAGGGGGGTCGCGCTATATCGTGAATTGGCAAAAGTTAGAATTCATGGCCGATTGGATCAAATCCCAGTGGCTTAATGGTCTACGAGCTAGCTCGCCTTGTAACCAGAAGGTCCTGGCTTCGAACCCCGGTGGTTGTGTGCTGATGAAGAGTCCCGAACTAGGACGAAACAGTTTTCCAGTACTCCCAGGTTTTTCAATGGTTTCCTAATTAATGTCAGCTCATGATGAAATCCTGTAACTTGTACTCCTATTTCGTAATCGGCAGAGGAATAAATAAACAATTGTATTGTCGTTCCGTTTTCCGATATTCCACGCTGGTTACTGCGCATACTATCCGGCGTTTAAGGTATAGTCTTTTGAAATCTGTGATAGGTTCAGGATCTTTACGATCTGGACATTTGGCATTCACTTTAAGTCACTTAATATGGGGTTGGGGGGTTCCTAGACTGTTTACATTTAAAACTCTTAGGACTGTACCCAGATACCTCACACTATTTAACCTTTTGACCACCAATTACTAACATCAATCACAAATATGTTAAAGAAAATACCTAAAGTCATATAGTGAATAATTTTAACTTGTCTGTCAACTGTTTGGAAATATACTTAGTAGTCCAAATTTTAACGTTTTTCATGTTCCAGATTATTAGTCACGCAGTTATTGTTTGTGTGAGTGTGTGTGAATACTGATGATGCTACCCATTTTGTCCAGGCTGAAGTAGGTAGGGCGGTATTCCAACATGGTGTTATGACTAGGACCCCAGTTCGAGCCTGGGCGGAAACACCAAACCTCGCCAGATACTAGCTTGCTAGGCTACTAGCTTACTAGTTTTCTCGCCGGTCCCAAGCCCGGGTAAAGAGGGAGGGTTGGGGCGTGGTGCTAGCAACTCCACCCCTGTAAAACAACCAAATCGCTACAGAAACTTCAACGAATAAATATATTAAAAATTCTAAAAACATAAGCAATAGCCTTACTTTTCGCTGGAATCGGGGAAGTGAAATGACGCAGGCTGGTGAAAGCCTTCGGGAAGCCAGTCAGCCGATGTGCCTTCTTTCGATGAAAGCAAAAGTAAGGATGGGTACCTGGAATGTTCGTACAATGTACGAAACTGGAAAGGCTGCCCAGATAGCCGCTGAAATGAGAAGGTACAGAATAGAAGTGTTGGGAATCTGCGAAAGCAGATGGAACGGAACTGGAAGGTGCCAACTACCTACTGGAGAGACAGTAATCTTTTCCGGCCACCCAGAGGACAACCATGAGCACACCGAGGGAGTGGCCATCATGATGTCACCAACAGCAACCAAAGCTCTCATGCAGTGGGAACCAATCTCCTCCAGGATAATGACAGCCAGGTTCAACTCAAAAGGAAGGAAAGTTACAGTCATTCAATGCTATGCGCCTACAAACGTCTCAGAACAAGAGAAGAAGGAGGCGTTCTACAGACAACTACAAGCAATAATGGACAACGTCCCAAATGGCGATATCAAAATCCTGATGGGCGACATGAATGCGAAGCTGGGAGGAGACAACACAGGAAGAGAACTCACCATGGGTCGTGAGGCCCTCGGCGAAATGAACGACAATGGTGAACTCTTCTCAGACTTCTGCGCCTTCAATGATTTGGTGATTGGTGGTAGTGTGTTCAAACACAAGGATATACACAAGACGACATGGATTTCACCAGATGGAAACACCAAGAACCAAATAGACTTCATCTCAATTTCAAGAAAGTGGAGACGGAGCCTACTGGACACAAGGTCAAGGAGAGGAGCAGATGTGGGTTCAGACCACTATCTAGTAGAAGGGACTTTCAAGGTGAAACTAAAAGCCTCGAGGATAGCTGGGGATAGGCCACAATGCAAGTTCAACACTCAATTACTGAAGGACACAACCACAAAAGACACTTTCACTGCAACTGTCAGAGCAAAGCAGGAAACACTACGCGACATCACTGAAGAATCATGCGTGGAAGAACATTGGAAGTCTCTGAAGGCGATTCTCAACGAAACGTGTTCAACGGTTCTAGGAAGAAAGAAGAGACAAGACAAGGAATGGCTCTCAACGGACACTTGGAAATTAATAGAAGAGAGGAGAATGGTGAAAGAGAAAATGATTCAATGCAAGGACGGACAGGAGAAGGAGACGATGAGCTCAACTTACAAAGCACTGGACAAAGAAGTGAAGAAGAGTGCTAGGAAGGACAAAAGACGATTCTACGACAACCTCGCCACTGAAGCTGAGAAGGCAGCAGGCAAAAGGGACCTGAGGACACTATATCAGATAACCAAATCTCTATCCGGGAAGAGATCAACACAAGCGAAACCTATAAAAGACAGCCAAGGGAACCCAATTACCAAGGAAGAAAAACAGATTAAACAATGGGCGGATCACTTCAAAGGACTCTTGAACCGACCATCACCTGCAACCCGTCCAGAAATACCAACAACAGCGCGCACACAACTGCAAGTTGACACCAATCCTCCAACGAGAGCTGAAGTCTTGAACGCAATCAAGCTTCTGAAAGCTGGAAAAGCAGCCGGACCAGATGGAATACCCCCTGAAGCACTGAAAGCAGACCCAGAGACTACAGCAGACATGCTGACTCCATTATTGCAAAAGGTCTGGAAGGAGGGAAAGGTGCCTACTGACTGGAGGAAAGGTTACCTCGTGAAACTACCAAAGAAGGGCGACTTAGGACTCTGCAAGAACTGGCGAGGAATCATGCTCCTATCGACGCCAAGTAAAATCCTGAGTCGCATCATCCTGGAGAGATTAAAGGACGCACTGGAGACAGAACTCCGACCAGAACAAGCTGGATTCAGGAAAGGCAAATCATGTACTGACCAAATTGCAACTCTACGCATCATCATCAGAACAAAGCATGGAATGGCAATCAAACCTCTACCTCAACTTTATAGACTTTGAGAAGGCCTTCGACAGCGTTGACCGTGAAGTAATTTGGAAATTACTCGAGTACTATGGCGTACCCCAAATATTCATCAACCTTATTCAACAGCTGTACGACAACGGCACATGTCAAGTGATCCACAACGGAAAACTCAGCGAGGCGTTTGGAGTAAACACAGGAGTCAGACAAGGGTGCTTATTATCACCAATGATATTCCTAATTGTGGTGGACTGGATTATGCGTCAGACAGTGGGAAACGAGAAGACAGGGATATCCTGGACCGACGTGAAGAACCTAGAAGACCTGGATTTCGCGCGTGGATGATTTATGTTTGATGTCACACAAAATCGAAGACTTACAAGCGAAAACCGACAAACTGGTCGAAGAAGCAGCCGGCGAAGACAGGACTCCAGGTGAACATAGACAAGACGGAGGTTATGAAAATAACCAACCAACAACATCCAACGTCAATCACCATCAACGGGAGGGATTTGAAAGAGGTTACTTCATTCATCACTTATCTAGGGAGCATTGTCTCAACTACAGGAGTCGGAACGGACGAGGATGTCAAATCGAGAATCGGGAAGGCGAGAAACACATTCATCAACCTGAAACCAATCTGGAAATCTTCGTCACTCAGCATCAACAACAAAATTTCGGATTTTCAATACAAACGTAAAGTCAGTCAGTTCTTCTATACGGATCAGAAACTTGGCCGGCGGGTCACAAAGAATATTTCCAACAGCTGTTGCAGACCTTTATCAACAACTGTCTTCGCTCTATACTGAAGATCAGATGGCCGGAAAGAATCACCAACAAGGAATTATGGGAACAAACAAAGCAAGAACCAATCGCCCAACAAATATGCAGGAGAAAGTGGAGATGGATCGGACACTCGCTGAGGAGACCGCTGGGTGACATCGCGCGTCAAGCCCTCGAGTGGAACCCGAAAGGGAAGCGGCGCGTGGGACGTCCAAGGGTGACATGGAGGAGATCGTGTGAAGAGGAGTTGAAAGAATATGGACTAACATGGATGCAGGCGAAAAGTACAGCAGAAGACAGAAGAAAATGGAGACGTGCAGTTGAAGCCCTATGTTCCACTAGGAACCCAAGGGAGCAATAATAATAATAATCAGGAAATAAATTGCTCTGATTGGTGGGCAATTTGTCTAGGTCAATAGAAAAGAAACATGCTGATTGGTTGGCGATAGACCCAGGACTAAAGTTAAAGATAAGATGATGAAATTTCACAGTCATCCGATAATTAGATGAATCACAAGATGGTTACTATTTTTTAGCCGTTTCACATCACCTGAGTCCTATTGATTGAAAGTTGAATGCATAAGCCGCTGCTGAGCTACGTCTCAGAGTAAGAATAATAATAATAATAACAATTCAATCCTGAATATAAATTCTAGGATGACAATTAAACCTTATCATGATTCAAAGTCTGAATGAAGCAAGAACGACAAATGTACCAGGATAATTTGAACTCATGTTTTTATTTTTATCATTTCATGGATTCTTTCCAACCGGTTACAACCTGAACAATACCAAAATTATGAATTAAATTAGGCATCTGAACATACTTTTTACAATGATAATCATTAACTGATTGGAACTGAGAGTAACATTGGTCAGGAATGATATAAGTGATTGAATAATTAAGAGTGAAAAGGATCGACTATTTATAGGAGAATTGCATGACTAAGCTTGGAAACAAAACGACAGAGTTCAACGGATGTTTTGTGAGTAAAAACAAAGTTTAATTAGAAAGAGTATAAAAAGTAATAGGTTACGTAACCACGGAAAAACAAGTTTTTAAAGACAAAAAGATGCGCAGGATGAATCATGTTTAGACAGCGAATTCAAGTTTTCTAAACAGGACAGAAGATTACGTAGTGAAATTTGTGCGCTTTGTTATCACCAAGGCGGTGCAAGATACACCATCACTGTCTCTTTCTGCGTACATAGATTTGGTTTTAGCCGATTGATGGAGATTGCCTCAGCAAAACAAAGCAGGTTAGGTTTCTTTTGTCTGTTGATTATTTTGAATGACTTCAAATTGTCCACAACATGGCCACTGTCTAGTAGATGGAGTGCAATCACACTGTTTAATCCTTGTGGACCCTTTAGCCTCAGGTTCTTTGGTATGCATTCAGCGATGCGGGCAATAACTCTTCTCTCTGTTCTTCCAGTGTATTTGCTTTGGGACGTACATTTAAATTGATAGACGCAGTTGAAGGTAACATGAGGTGGGAGTTTGTCCACTTTCAACTGTCTTAAACAACAGGTCGTTTGATAAACACATACAAGCTTGGCGGCTGGATATATTCTTTTCAGGGCAGCGTTCAGTCTGCATCTTATTCTACTGGCAGTATCGTCACCTTTGAAGGCAAGCTGTAAAAAGATGGGTATTTTTCTCTACTGTGCTGTACTTCACCTTATCAAGAATACGTTTTCCATGTTTTTCTATGAACTTATGTGGGCAACCATTATCACTCAGGCATTTTTCAACAGTGGCTAGTTATTCCTCAACTTTCTCTTCTGAACAAAGCTTCTTTACACGATCACACAGTGTTCTCACCAATCCCTTTTTGTAACTTATAGGAGAGAAGCTTTTGAAGTTCAGGTAAATAGCAATCCAGGTCTCCTTTCTATTAATGTACCTCATGATTTCACCATCTTTATCACGTTCTATGGCATGGTCCAAAATGTGAAACTTGTCCTCATCTTCACATTCCATTGTAAACTTTATACTAGGATGAGCACTATTCAGGACGTTTAATACTTGAGATGCGTCATTCAAAGTTTATTCCAATTTTTTAAACCCTTAAAATACCACCTAGTAGTGTGTTTTTCCACTTCATCTGAAAAAGCACATAGCAGTAGTAGTAATAATAATAATAATTAACGAGAAACTGTAGGCTGGAATTTCAAATCAACCATTCAAAATTCAATTTTCATCATATTTATAGTAATAATAATAATAACTCACAAAGGTCGGTTTCAGTACTTCAGATAAATTGTTTAAATTAGCATCAAATAATAACGTACAGTGGTGATATGCCATATCCGCGCCAAGCTTAGACGATGAACCTGAAATCTTTAATCGATTCTAAAATTAAACACAGAAAAGAACAAAATTATTATTACTTACTTTGTTACGATTGCAGTAAAACGTTCACATCGGTTCTGGTGGACGTCTCTATGTCAATCTAGGTATCATTTTCAGTGCTGTTGACTAGAAAGTGAAATTATTTCGATAAAGTTCATATTCCATTCAAATTGAATTGGCTTTTATCACTTTTAAACACCAATAGGTAAGAGTTTATGGCCGTGCTATAAGTATAGAAGAGTAATCATTATTCTCTGCGGAACATTAACGCACTGTATGTCCCTGATCGATACCGATACAAATTGAGTATAATACAGCAGATTCTATATATGCATACATACCTTTGTGTGTATGTTAATTAATTGCAAATATTCTGATTGGACACTAGATAACAATTAGTATCATGCGTCAACATCACAGTGCATTCTGAATTGTTGTCATAAGATGGTTGGGGGGTTATCGGCAGAAAGTCTTGCCTGACCTAAGTTTCGTACTTGTTGGTGGAACTCACCAGTCAGCAAGGTGTATCTGCAAACTTGAGGTTAATCATATCCCTTCTGAGATCCAAAGCCATATCCAAGGCTTCCTGCCAATTACTTCTAAACATTTAATAACAGTAATTGCAAGCATGTATATATATTTAGCTATGATAACCAATAATACATTTCATCTACACTCATAAACCATAAGTTGAATTCCGGAAATCATAAATAGTCAACAGAAGAATGAACACTTCCCTATCCAGAACTTATCCCGCAACTAAGTTGGTTTCCGTTCATTGGAAATCATGGTCTTTATTGCAGTCAAAAGTTGACAGATACTCTTCTCATGTTAACTCCAACTGTATATACAAATTTACATGTATCTGGCAGTACAATTACTTTGAGAGAACAGAAAGAAGGGCACACCTCTGATTTTCTGGACATGTACCAAAAAGTTTACGTCTTAAGGGAACAAATGCTTACAATATCGCCATTGCCAGACATCTCATCAGCAAGGTTCGTCAAGTGGAGATGGAGAAATCCTTTAAAATTATCAGCAGACAAAATAGTTCAATTTCCCCCTCCCCAAGTTTCCTGAAGTAATCGCTATCAAATGTCTGAAATCCGATTGATGTGTTCAGAAAGAAGTAATTAACAGTCTTTTCTTTGCGTGGTAATGGAGTGTCTTTATTAACTCTTTCATTTGATTGTGTAATCTTTGGCTTTAACGTCTCCCCCTATTATATGGTGTAACTCTGCTTGTCTCTTGTCTTTATGATTCCAGTTGAACTCACTACACTGTTACTCAATTGATGAATTATTCATCATTTTATTCATCTCCTTTTTTGCTACGTAACTCCTTCTACGTTGTATGCAAACATTTATGTCTGCTTAAACTTGAGGTCTCCGGTTAAAAATACATATAAGTGTAATCTTCTGGGTGATGTTTATTTAGTTTGAAGCCTACTTTTAACCGTTATTGTGTAACACTTGCAAGTATGTTAAAATTGTTCTGTACATGAACTTAATAATTTGTTTAGGCTGTACGCAGCTGATGAGAAGCCAGCGAAGTAAATGGTGGTGGATATATTTTATTCTGTACCCACTGTTGTTCTTGCTTCATTAAAATTCGTAAAAAGGGGAATAAATGTAAGAAGTTTCACAGTTCAATTGTTTCTTAAGCTTGTCGGGTGCATATTCTCCTACCAAATTGCGTACAAATTACGATTACTCCTTGTTATGCAAGTGTGACCACACAAACACACACACATACATGTAGACTGATATAGACTACGGAATATGACATAATCACTTGTGAAATGTTGAGGCTTGTAGTAGAGCATGTTGTTTTCTTTGGCATTTTTCGATAATTTAAAACACGATTGCATATTAAGTTTTACAAATGACAGAATTTAAAAATTTATACCAGAATCTTTAACTTTTGAGATTAAGCCTTAACTAATCGATTACATCGACTTGAATTTGAAAGAAAAACTAGAAACAAAGCTGGAGAAGGAGAGATGTATCTGATATAAGTGTTTGATTCAAAACAAACAAAAAATACTCTGTATTGATTAGTCAACTTTTTATTTGTATCAAACATCTGCTTATACACGAATATACATACAGTTAATCATTACTAATTTATCAGCCGTAATTCTTGTATTTTTGAAACTATAAAACGCGATCTATTTGACATCATAAGTTAGCGCTTACTGTTGACTTTTCGAGCCAAAGTTTACCAGCTCGCTAGTTTTATAGCTGGTCTTAACCCTGGGAAAAGAGGAGAGGTTGGGCTTGGAGTAAGCTACCCTAAATCTCGGAAAACCAATCAAATCGCCAGAGAAAATTCAAAGTGCAAGAGAAGAAAACTAGTTCTCTGCTGGAACCGGAGAGATTCAATGACATTGGCTGGTGAAAGCTCTTGAGAAGCCAGTCAGCCGATGTGTTTTCTTAGTTCAGTGATAGCGAAAGTAAGCACTGAGACGTGGAATGTTTGTTCGTACAAAATGTATGAGGCTGAGAAAGCTGCCCGAAATGCCAAAGAAATGAAAAGATATGGCATGAAAGTGCTAGGAATCTGTGCGAGCAGGCTGACTGCATGCGGACTCTCTAGTTTTTTTCAAATGGAGAATCAATAATCTACTCCTGTCATCCAGACGATAACCACTAGCAGCAGCACACTGAGCGAGTGGCTATCATGATATCACCAACAGCGGTCAAGGCTCTTGTGTTAGACGATTAAGAAGACTCTAGAAGATCTGGATTTTTCATCAGATGATTTATGTCTAATGTCAGACAAACTCGAACATCAACTAACACAGTGGCATAGAAAGCAGGCAGCAAAGACAGGACTTCAAAAGAACATAGAATAGACAAGCAGGATGAAAATAACCACACAATCATTAAGAACAACAACAAGCGCCAATCGCTAGCAACAGAAGAAACATGTGAGAAGTCATCCCCTCACTTATCTGACCAGGCACCATAGAGTTTCAAGGATGAAAATGTAAAAACCAGAGTCGAAAAGGCAAGACAGAAATTCCTCACTCTCAAATCAGTGTGGAAATCTTCTGCACTCCACAATACAAAGGACGAAATTCAGATTTTCCACACCAACGTCAATTCAGTCAGTCAGTTCTTCTAAACGAGTTAGATACTTGCACTCGGCGTCACGAATAGCATTTATAACAGGCCACTACAGACTTTTATCAACAGTTGCTCCACGCTGAACACCAAACAGCGATTCGCTCCCGCCAAATGCAAGATGATGTTACAGGACTGGACCAGACTGACTCCTAGTTTAGAAATAGGGAGTGAAGTGGTAGAGCACGTTGACCGCTTTACTTATTTGGAAAGCATCATCAGCCCCAACGGGTTGATCTTTAACGAAATCTCAGTACGAATTCAGAGGGATAGTTTTGCATTTGCCAGTTTACGCCGTCTCTGGCATAGACTTGATATCCGGATGGCTATCGACCTAAGGGCGGGCGTACTACTCATCAGTCCGCTCCGTCCTCCTTAATGGCTGTGAGACCTGGCCATTGAGAGTGGAAGACATGAAAAGCTTCGTTAGTTTTCTTTGATCATAGGTGCCTGCGCCCTATCTCCCCTGTGAAGTGGTATAATAAGGTGAGCAATATTGAGGTTAGGCTTCAGTCGAATGCTGGGTATGAGGCTGAGAAGCTACATCGACTGAGATGGTTAGGACATGTGTTACGTATGCTTCGTCATCAGCTTCATCGACGGGAAATGCTAGCTGATATACGGACAGGATGGAAAAGAGCTAGCGGAGGTCAAACCAAAACATGGCTTTACCAGTCAATAGAATCCACAAGTTAGTTTAGGCCATGTAGGAAGGTGTCGACTTCCTGGTTGGGGTCCTTGGGACGGTAAAAACCAATGAAGGCTGGAAACAATTGGTGATATGGCTCAAAACCGTTCTCAATGGCTGGCTGGTGCAGATGCATCCACTCCTTGTAACTTATGATTTCCAATGAAACTATATTGTTCTTCGTTACTTCAATTTCTTTATCTCATATCTCTGCTTACTGTCTCTATTATGCATTTCTTCTATTTTGTTCTCTTGCTTTGTGTGCTACATGGAATGTGGCGACTTGAACTGCCACACATATGTGCAAAGTTCTATGTCGAAAACAGACAGAGAGAAACGGCCCACCAAACAAATTAGAGACAAGAAATCCTGGCAGTGTAACGAACCAACCAAGAACCTTTTGCTTAAAAAATATGGCGAAGGAAATAGAGATGAACCGGACATATTGAGGAGATAGTGCAAGGAGATTAGACAGAGAGAGAGAATGGCAAACGTGGGGCCAGACAAAGAGGACAACAGAGAATAGAACAAGATGCCAATGTGTTGTTGAAGCCCAATGCTCCACTCGGAACCTGAAGGAACAATAACAATAATAATAATTGTTATGAAAGAGTCATACTGGTTAGTGAGGTTTTCAAACCTGACTAGAATGTGCCTGCAAAACACGATACTATAACCAACGGATCACTTGAAATGATCGCCCATATTGAGGCAGACACAAAAATCAGACAGAACGGCAACAACCTTTATTAGACAAAATACCAGGTATAATATATTTAAAACTCCCACAGAAAAACAAACCATAGATGGATAAGCGAATCTGACTGGTTGTACGACATCGAAATCCCTCAGTAAAATTAAGCCATAAATAAACGAATCAAAATCACAACTAAGAGAGAAGCTTGTCTGCCCTAACAAATATACACATTACAAAATGAATAATCTGCTACTCAGTAAACTTGCTTCTAATGCATTTTCATCAGTTTGCTTTTCTGATATCCATAGATCATATCGATCACCAACATGGACAATACAATTTGTAGAAGATATAAGTGGTTGTAAAACAGACTGAAGAAATTCCATACATTTTCGTCGATCCAAATAACGTTTAGGCTGCATAAAAGAGATGTTTAAATTACCAAGATCATGATAAACTGCTCCACCACCAGAATAACGTCTAGCTAACTGTAGTGCTTTTGAGCGTAACACTGTGCTGTTTATCTCTTTCCATGCATTTTGAAATCGACCAATCACAATACACGGATTACTACGCCATAAGAGAATATTTGTAAAATGCGCTGGTAGTTTGTGATTATTATTATTATCATCATTTAGGCTGTGAAGTTGTTTTTCACCCGCTTGATATAAACATGTCTCAAAGGCTAAATTTCGATAAATATTATTTGACTCCAAAAGAAATATTCGACTGGATGTATTCAACTGATGTAAACCTGCTGTCATATGATATTGATGATGATACTTGACAAACTGAAATACACAAGATTTCAGAATAACTCCCATAGTTGAAAAAAATGTAGTTCCTTTTCAGACCTTTGTTTCGTTAGAACATTTCTATTGGGGAAATAAATGAGAAAATATAGAGCGAATACTGATTATTCATGCGGTAATTGGGAATGCATCTTACACTTTCAGTCATAGCTGAACAGTTTTCAATTACTTCTCCCCTATATCCTTTCTACTAGTGCAACCTCAGAGGACAAGAGAATCCAGTAACATAGTTTAATTGGTAACCCAATACATAGATATAGGCAAAATACAATTTGTGAATATATTCGGTATTCTTCTGCTTTATCCTCCGTATTGTGCTTCACGTAGTCCTCCCCTCCCTTCATGTTTTCCACATTATTTCCCAAGCATTATTCATTAAATCCATCTATCGGCTATCTGATATTCTTGCAGCTGATATACATATTTATATCTGCATTTATATACTACTTATAAATCTTGCTAGTAGCACATGCCACGTTAGTAGTATCTTCTTCTCAGTGTAGTTCTGTTTTCCGAGATGAATGGTCTGCTTGCGAAGCTGTCGTTGCTTTACCGGAGAGCATGCTCAGCGCACACTTTAGCGTGAGCTTTTAAATCTTTCCACGAGTTTTTATTAGTCATCTCTCCTGGCTAGCTTGGACGTCACTGGTTGTTTTCTGAGTGTTTTTGATCACCCTATGGTCTATTTGTACTAGTATTGATTGTTACCTTGACCTAAAGTTTAACTTTTTGTTCATGTGATTTCTTTTGTTTTATGGATTAGTAAATCTTGTCTATGTCATTATGTCTATTGATTGCCGATTCACTCGAATAACAGGCATCTGAAAATTGTCTAGAGTTTTTGGTGTTTCCTCTGTCTAATATGTGAATATCGGTGGGTCAGTCCCAATCGAATCGGTGTCCGTGGTTGTTGGTATACAGTGATATAAGGAAGTAGATATCGTGTCTTTTGACACGGACAAACACACAAAAACAACCAATCACTTTCAATCTAGCTAGGAGAGATGACTTATAACTAGTACAGAAGTTTAAAAACTCTCTTCATATTAAAGTGTGCACTGAGGATTTCGCCTAGTAAGGCAACAAAAGCTTCGCCAGAAGACCATCCAGCTCAGAGGGTACAACTTCACCGAAATCATCCAGTTGAGTTACAAATCTCCCGATTACATCTAGCATATCTTTATATATCACTAATTAATCAGACACACACCTTACTCACAACAAAAGGCGATTTTTTTACCAACTTCCAGATCTATAGTCTACTTAAAGTTAAAAGTATTCAGTTTACGAAAAAAACAGAAAAATATTTGCTGAAAAACAACAGAAACAAAAAGAAAGTATTGAAATATGGTAGCGCACTAGTCAAAATATACGTTGTTGATATTGCAGTTCCTTTTTATCGATTGCATGACCTAGAAATACAAATCGATTATTATCTTTAAGGTCACGAAAATTGCAGTGAAATGATTGGTTCATGCATATGGTAATAGTGTAGGTTACAAAATAAGGAAATAAACTGGCAATTTATTGGCTTTGTTTAACAACAATGATCACAAGAGACGAATTGTACATTGAAAAAATTGGGATACAATGACGTTATACATTAAAATTTGTATACATAAATAAATACCCTATGATATGAATGCATGTGATGCACAGGAGGCCAGAAAAAGAAGTTACAAAGTAACGAATATAACGTCAATTCTAAAACCAATCGACAAACTAGTCTTTATACGATAGCTAATATATGCATTACGTAATTTCAATAGTTTGTAGTTAAAATGTGGATTAAAAACAGAACATATGTCTAGTTTCTCAACATACATTAAACTCAGTTCACATTTGAATCAGAAAATGAAAAAAGGAGAACTAGCTAGGTTAGATTGTAAAATAAAACAGACAGAAGGTAAACTGCACATTAGAGTTTATAAAAAGTCAACGCATTCTAATAAACATTTAGACTTTAATTCATCTCAACAGTTATCTGTGGAGGCAAGTTTAGTTAAATGCCTGACAAACTAAGCGATAACACTAAGTGGTACATCAAAAACAAAACCTAAATGATGAATTGAAACAGATAGAAGAAGTATTTGTGTTAAGAAGCTTACTGAGAAAAGAAAACGTAGTAATAGTAGTAGTGGGACTATTGACGATGACATAAAAACGAAGGAATTTAAGGCATCTACACAGTTTCAACATACAGTGAAGGAGTTAACAACTGAACTGAATGAACCCCCCTTGCTACTTTGTTATGTCTGCACCTGTTAATTGCTATAACGGTAATCAACTCGACTACTGGTACGCTAATACGTTTGTTTGTCCTATGTACCTTCCTATTCACTGAGCCATGGAAATATCAAAAGACAAAGGCGCTGGCCTGTGAGTGTAAGATATTGTATTGTATATTTATTAGGAAACAAAACATGATATTTATATATTTACTTTACTATAATAAAGTCGGTTCACATCCGTGAGAATTAACTGCTCTTATTGACTGGAAATGGTTATACTCATCGGTTGGCGATCCAACAAAGACCATGGTGAGACAAAAGACGAATTAATCACACACACTAAGCCACAATATGCGTGAGAAATGATACAATCACAGATTAACACCATCACAAGATAAATCACACGATTCATGAGGAAGGATGATGATACACTAGTTTATTCTGGGTCCTATTGTAAGGGATATCTGAAACCCTAAGGATAGGATTCTTAGTAAAACAGGAATTGGAGTGGCATTTAAACCGATAAACTCGTTTACGAACAAGTTCTATAGGACCCAAATGACGCAATTCGACAAAATAACGTAATCTACCACATACCTTACAATGGAGTGTGAGTTCAAGTATAAAGGTCAAATCAGTAGATCGGATGGGGTCAGATTATAAGATGAGAATTTAACTGAGTGTGAAATAACTGACCACACGAAGATGAATAGTTCAGAGGAAAACTCAGCAATTTCATTGCATGCATTAACACACAATCACACAATAGGTTGCTTCAGAGATATAGTTCTAAAAAGTAATATAGTTAGATGGAGAGAGAGAGAGAGAGGTTGACCGCTGAATCTTTGTCTAACATGTGCAATAGGAATGACGCAATACCAATGGCGAAGACTTACATGCGAAAACCAACAAACTAGCTGGAGAAGCAGAAGCAAAAATAGGACGCGAAGTGCACATATAGTAGACAGAAGACAAGCATCAATCACTATCAACAGAACAAATTTAAAGGATATTACTTCCTTCACTTATCTAGGCAATATCGTTCCAATTACAGGCACCTAGAATCGATAAAGATGACAAAGCCGACCAGATATCGAAAGGCAAAACAGACCTCCATCACTCTGTGCAGCAGGTTGGGTGTCAGGACAAATACTCGCCGATGATATTGGCTAGGGGTCGCGCTATGTCGTGAATTGGCAGAAGTTAGAATTCATGGGCCATTGGATAGGGTCCCAGTGGCTTAATGGTCTGCGAGCTAGTTCTCCTTGTAACCAGAAGGTCCTGGGATCGAACCGTGGCGTTGGGTGCGTACTGTGAAGAATCCCAAACTAGGCTGTCCAGTACTCCCAGGTTTTCCAATGGTTCTCTAACTAATGTCAGCTTATGATGAAATCCTGTAACCAATCAAATCCCTACAAACCAACACTTGAATACTCTGAAATCAGTTTGCAAATCTTATGCACTCAGCATAAACAACAAACTAAAACAATTAGTCTCTTTGATAAATTTAAATAAGGCATTTGGAAGACAGATTTCGCGAGATGATATCATTTCGCAGTTTCTTTACAAGTAGTCCTTCGCCTACTACTGTGGTGAGAGCAGGCTGCTAGCCGATTGGTTGGCACTAATCTACGTTAAGGTCTAGGTCACTAATATGGGCCGTGAACAAGGCTGAGTCAACAACCAATCACAGCGAAGTTAACGTGGCAAAATATGATTCGCAGATAGAGAACTCTGTTTGTCAAGGAATCCCGAAACAACCAATCAGAAGCCTGCGTTTGTCTACCTAAACAACCAATCAGATGACTGCGCTTGTCTATAATAATGTTGTCTGAAATATGTATAAATACGTGTTGAATTTCATAATAAAACGATCTGTTGCCTGGCCCTTGTCTTCTGTTGTTACATTTGGTGTCGCTGCCTACCGACAAATGAAAAGCCTATACCCTGCAGTTTTTGATGGAGACATATGGATCTTCGGGCAGGACTTCAAGGCTTCTGCGCAGTTGAGTGGCGTTCAAGATCTGTCAGCGATGGAGCTGCTACTTGAGACGCTGCTGGAAGGTCCGGCGAAAGCAGCATATGAAGGTGTGGGCCGAAGTATGGACGAATGTTCGACAGGGTCAGGCAAACAGTTTCCAAAGTGGGAAGGACCATATATGGTCACTTCGAGATGGGGTTACGCAGACACAGTCGCAATGGCGAACAATGAGAGGCGCGTGAACGTCAGCGAGCTCCAGAAATGGATACAGCGAGACAAGCCAACGATGACGCCTGCACCAAGTAGATCAAGCCGACTTCAGTCGCACGTATTTGACGGGGGGACGAGTGTGGTGAGAGCAGGCTGCTAGCCGATTGGTTGGCACTAATCTACGTTAAGGTCTAGGTCACTAATATGGGCCGTGAACAAGGCTGAGTCAACAACCAATCACAGCGAAGTTAACGTGGCAAAATATGATTCGCAGATAGAGAACTCTGTTTGTCAAGGAATCCCGAAACAACCAATCAGAAGCCTGCGTTTGTCTACCTAAACAACCAATCAGATGACTGCGCTTGTCTATAATAATGTTGTCTGAAATATGTATAAATACGTGTTGATTTTCATAATAAAACGATCTGTTGCCTGGCCCTTGTCTTCTGTTGTTACACTACAATGGACTTGATTGGTCACTAGTATGTACTTTTGTTTTTTATTTAACTGAGTAATTGTCATGCATTTTATTTCATCTTATTATTGTGAACGATGCTAGTTGTAAAGCGGTTGTAAAGAAACTACGAAAT